ATCGTGTGGCTCAGCCGACCGCTTATTTATTTTTCATGTAACCCTTTCACAATAAAGTTAAAGATCCTGTTGAGACTTTTCAAAATAAACCAAAAATAATGACAATATACAGTATCATCAAACATCAAATTTCAGAATATGCATCAAACAAGTTACCTCACATAGAACATGAAGTCCCTGTAAATGACTCTTACACTGTATATATGAGAGGTGAAACATTTGCAGAGATTTGCACAAGATTTTCAGTCACTTTTTTCTAACCTTCTTAGACTCAGAACTAAAGATGTCCAGCTTTGTGTGTCTGTCGAAATACTTTTAATAGAACAAAAGACAGTCAGCATCCAAAGAGGACCAAAAGCAACGATCAGAGTATTTCTCCACCTGCTGTATATGTATCCCTTAAACTTGCAACATCTATAACTAATAATAATTATTATATTATAGTATTTTCAATTATAGGATCAAATTTGAGCCTCTATTCTCCAGGCTTGTGTTTTCTGAGCATTTGTTTTTATTCTTGTGCTTTTAGTTAAGGACAATTAAAGAGACTAAAATGACATATAATTCTTAGCGTTTTTATTATAATTTATTATCATCTGTCTTCTCAGATGAGAGGTAAAACGTCTTCAAGAAGTCCAGTCGCTTTCTTTCTAAGCTCCTTCGATTACGATGACCTGAATGACTGAGAACCTTCACAGACATTGTTGATTAACATGACACTAACATTACATTTTCCATTAGCATTGGTGTGAGCCTTGTATACTGATGAGATTCATGGAGAAGAGGAGGACAAAAACAGTGATGCTGTCACATTTTGGGAGAGCTGCATGTGTTTTACTGAATCAGGAAACAGACACACACAGTGCAGTGAGGACTTACATCCAGATTTGGCAGCGCTGAAAGTACGAGAGAGACCTTTGACCCCTTAATAGAGATGCTTAACCAGATGTAAAATAATCAGAAATGTACCCAGTGACTGAGCCGAACAATACTGGTTGGGAGTGTAAAAAATATAAATGAATAAAAAAATGCCTGTCTCTACACAGGG